ATAACGCTTGGGCGAGAGCTTCGTTTGAGGCGAACGATGGCAGGAACAGGCAGGCGACGTTGGTCTCTTGTGGGCCAACGTGAACAACTTGAACGCCCTCACCGCCAATCACCAGGCAGCCAGCATTGATGATTAAAGACACGGAGGCTATGCTCTTCACGGTGACTTGGAAGTTTTGAGCTCCCTGATGCTGCACGCAGTATACCTCTAATAGGCCGACTATTGAGGCCGTCGCATTGAGGTCTCGGCACTAGTCATTGAGGTCTCGGCACTAGTCATTGAGGTCTCGGCACTAGTCATTGAGGTCTCGGCACTATTGAGGTCTCGGCACTAGTCTCCATAGGGACAACAACGTCGAAGACAAGCGCTTTCGAAGGCGCCTAAGACGCGACAAGCACCATGACTCCTGCTGATGGACGCCCCTGACGTAAGAAGGTTAAGGTTAAGGATGTTGTAGGTATACAGCCGGCGGATCTAGCCTTGCATAATTTGCAGGCAATTGCCCCGCCCGGTTTCCTCTTTGCTAAATGAAGCTGTGTCCTTTGTTTTTTTTTAAATAAGCACGAGCAGGCTTTTAAAATAAAAATCGTTCATAGCGCGACGTAAGCCTGCATAAGACACTATTCCACGTGCAGTACTGTGCCGGTACTCTATCTCGCTGAACTATAACCAAGCATAATTGTCACCCTGACGTAAGACGCAAAGGGACGCCCGCAGGGAGTCAACAGACTGCTCGCGAAGATTTTTGCTAAAACCAAAGAGGTTGCACCCAGTGAGTTTAACATGACAAGCCTTTCTGTATGGTCAGATAGTGCTTAAAGTGCGTCCTTGTGATACTAGGTTTTTTTTTTAGTGCGGAGCATGTCCTCTTTGAATTCGGCGACATTGAGCGTATCTATCTATCTATCTATCTATCTATCTATCTATCTATCTATCTATCTATCTACTATCTATCTATCTATCTATCTATCTATCTATCTATCTATCTATCTATCTATCTATCTATCTATCTATCTATCTATCTATCTATCTATCTATCTATCTATCTATCTATCTATCTATCTATCTATCTATCTATCTATCTATCTATCTATCTATCTATCTATCTATCTATCTATCTATCTATCTATCTATCTATCTATCTATCTATCTATCTATCTATCTATCTATCTATCTATCTATCTATCTATCTATCTATCTATCTATCTATCTATCTAGCCGCTTACGTTTGGGTGCTCTCGTGGTCACCCCCTTAGCTTGGCGTGAACCAAAATTAGCATGGGAGGGTAAAATGGTTTGACGAATATGACGCGCTGGTGAAGACGTGAATAATGGCCCAATCCCGTCGCGTACGTTGTCAAACATTTCTCACCAGACAGTGGCACATACTCATGGGCGAATGTGTGCCGCTGGTAAGCGGGTATGTGCCACCGGTGATTGACACTTAGTATCTACCCAGAAACGAGGAGCACACACACAGGAAATTTCAACGTGTGAGCGTTCAGCAATACTCGATAATGGTAGCGTCAACCCAACGAAAAACCTGACATAGGCAGCGTAGAATCATGTGAGGGGGGCGGTGTGGCAGGCGAAGTGGAAGCAAGATCACGATGGGCCCTCGGGCCGCTCTAGGTGGCCAGACACTGCTGTGCTTCGGTGACCCTTCTGGCCCAGCTCACTGTCCGGAGCTGTAACCGCGGTTGCGAGCTGTGCAGAGCAGCCTCCCATCGCACCTGGTGTTCTGACTCTTGCCACGGGGGCTTGGGTTTGTTAAGACAATTTAAAAATACGTGATGGAGGTCGGCTGTGTTGCTAGGACGTAAGTTGCAGTGAGGAGAGGTTTCGCCATGCGTCGCTTCACAATACAGGCTTCACCATACGACATCTAATATCGCAGTAACATTGCGTGGTACAAGCGTGAATTGCTATCGGGCGTCAGAGCATGTCATTATCATAACGACTTCGTGGTTTAAAGCCAGCCGCCCCACCGTGGTGGTCTATATATATAGTGGCTAACGTACTCGGCTGCTGACCCGCAGGTCGCGGGATCGAATCCCGGCTGCGGCGTCTGCATTTCCGATAGAGGTGGAAATGCTGTAGACCCATGTGCTCCGATTTGTGTGCACGTTAAAAATCCCAGGTGGTTGAAATTTCCGGAGCTCTCCGCTACGATGTCTCTCATAATTATATAGTGGTTTTGGGACGTTAAACCCCATAAATAAATAAATCAGTCAATCAAAGCCGGCCACCCATTACAAAAGAGTCCCACGTTACAGCGCATATTGGTTGGTACATGGAGGGATCAAAAACATTTCTAGCGTGTAATTGCTCGTGGTTTAAATAAAGGATGTGCTACCCATTACACAGAATGCAGCCATAGACGAAAGCTTCACTGACACAAGCCACTTCCAACTTTATCGATTACATTGTAGTCATGAACAATTTAAACTTCTTGAGTGACATCATACTATACAAAGTATGCACGAAGTGGTTGAAGTATACATTATATAGGGACAGCACATCGCTATCGCTTCATCTTAAAAGCCAAGCTTAAGGGTCTCCCAATTTTCAATTTTTTAATAGATAGATAGATAGATAGATAGATAGGTAGATAGATAGATAGATAGATGTACAGACAGACAGACAGACAGATAGATAGATAGATAGATAGATAGATAGATAGATAGATAGATAGATAGATACATAGATAGATAGATAGATAGATAAATAGATAGATAGATAGATAGATAGATAGATATATAGATAGATAGATAGATAGATAGATAGATAGATAGATAGATAGATAGATAGATAGATAGATAGATAGATAGATAGATAGATAGATAGATAGATAGATAGATAGATAGATAGATAGATAGATAGATAGATAGATGGTAAGGTTGTGCAGATAGTGAATTTCGAAACCAATTAGAATGCGAATCAAATAGTGATGACACCAAATCGAATGCGAACAGTAATTGAACGCCGTTCGAGTAGTTTTTGAATAGCAAGTAGACCATTTTCAAAGCAGCCTCAGAACATTACAACCTTTTCTTTGAAACAAATGTTCACGAAATTTCACCAAAGACCTTTGATGTTAGCTTCAATCGACTCAAAATACCACAATACCGAAAACAAAGGTAAGCTCGTATTAGGCAGCCTGCATAATGTTTTGCAACTGTAGCTTCAAATACAGCATTCGCTAACGCTATCGGTGCGAGACTTTGTCACCTCATTTGAAATAAAGTTTGGACACAAACTAAACATTTTTATACCAAACACTGCGGATAGAGCGAAAAATGTAATGAAGTCGATCAGTCTGCGTCAAACCATGTTCTGCGTGCCGAAACCGTGTAACAATCGGAGCGTAAATCTAAATCTGTCAGAACAATTACCACAAACGCAACACTCGCATCTGTGGCAAGTCATAAAGCTGCAAACAGTTATTACAACAGCTTCAGCATATATTAGTAAAAAGTGAGCAAGAATTTATTTGTTATTTACTTGCTTTGCATACACAGATACACAAGGACACAGAGGAAAGAGGGAGAGAGCAAGCTGGCAACTGCTACCTGGAGGGGCACAACGTACGTTTATCCATCAATCAATATAGTGTCGATGGTCTCGTAAAGCTTGGACTGCGTACAGATCAGTTAAGGGATTAAAGGAAGAAGAATGACCTTTAACTGTGGCTAAGTTTGGTTACATTAAGGTTCTCCTGTCGGGGCTGATTATTCGAAAGCTATTCGGAAAATATGTAGAATGTCGAATGTTTTTGAATGCGTACTATTCGATTCGAGTACCGAATCGAATACAGGGCCATTCAATTCATTATTCTTATTTTTCGAATATTCGCACAGCCCTAATATATCGATAGATGGAAAGAAACAGTCAAAGGGTATTTAGTTCGCTACGAAGGCTTCACAATTAGAATCCACACAGGCAGCTGCTTGCTCACTGCTTTGGACGAGCTCTTACAATGCACGGGACTGTCGCAATATAATATTTTTCTTGACCTATGAACAGGTGCGGAAGCTTGTTCACTTCTCTGCAGTAAAAAGCGCGCCATAGTGGTTGCCCCTGAGTTTTATACTGTTCAGAGAAATAGAAAGTAGGACAGTGTGTTTTTGCGCACAGCGTGAAAGAAACAGATAAGCACCAAACATTACACGCAAAGGTAACGCTACTAGCTGGTCATTTGAGATGACTTGCCGCTTTCAAGGGCCCCTTACCACCCCGGGTTTAAAGACGAGGGGGTGATTTTCTCCTCTTCTTCATACACACGATGCACCCTCCTCGCCTTTCAGTTCTTGAATACACGTGAACGATATCACCACTAAGCGCTAGAGCCTATCAGGATTTTTGCGCTTCTCGGCTGCACGCTGTTATCGCCGCTTGTGCCGTTGTGAACGCAAAAAATGAAGTCTGATCGGTTGATTGTGCTCGATTGTCATGCGATACAAAGAAGAACGGATGCGCGGCTGCATAGCAAAGCAGTGCAGGAGACAAATCAAATGTGATATTTCGCGTATATCAACGAATCGAGAGTATGCACTCTGTATATGTCTCGGGAACTACTGTCTACGTCACAGTAGTGCGCCAAGAAGGACGAGAAATATCAGGAAAGAATATTCTTACGTAAAAATGATTTTTGTATTTTGAGAGCCTGGTGAGTGGCCCTTTCAACGACCAGACACTGCCGCGACGAGCCTTCATTCATCAAAGTTCTTTGACAAAGTGTGCAAGTGTGAATATGAGTTGAAGACTTGACACCGGGAAACAATTAGAAGCTGCTGCTCCATCGTTCACACTCTCTTTTGTTACACCTGTGTGCGCGATAATACGCGGGACAGCGAGGCGCAGACGCGCGCACTGGGTTTTTCGATCCACGCAGTTGCCCTTGTCGCGGCTAGGGGGCGAATAGTCGCGCTTGTCGCGTTGCGCGGTTCCCGCCGGCTGGCGAGCGCCGGCTGCGAGCGTCTGCTTCCGACGCTGCGGCGCAAACGCGCCTCGCAGAAGGCCACGGAGCCGCACTTGTCGGCGCCCCGTGCCGGGAGAGAATTCGTCGCTGCCGCAGCTACAACCGTGAAAGCATGATTCGTTCCTGCTGGGCGTCCGAGTCGAAGAGACCGATGCACGCAGCAGCTGCTGGAGCAGGCGATGCGTGTTGACCTTGCTTTTACCAACGCCTTCTTCTCGTAAGCTTGGCGTGGCGGGTACCGCTACGCTGCGCGTAGTTCAAAGCAGCTGACTTGCTGTAGCGAGCGCGCCAAGAATCAAAAACACTACCTCCTTACGACTGCCGAACGACGAGTGTCTCGGAGCGCCGGCCGCGTCCGCCTGCCCACCGCTGCCGCCTGCGCTGCTGGATTGTCTCTTTTTTGCTTGATTCCTCGGTCAACTTGTGAGTGCCCGTCGTATCCCCGATAACGAAGGAGCTCGCCTAGCAGCGGCCTTAGCTTCGCCCGGGCTTACCTCTGGATACGGCGATGTAACTGCCGGTCGCCGTTACGCTGGGTTTGTGCTGGACGCAAAATAGGATCTACGCAGTGCAAGCCGAAGTCGCTTCAGGTATTTCGATGGCTTCGTTCACCTCCTCAAGCAAAATTTCTGGAGACTCACTGGCACGTCACAGCTCCACATTTAGCCAGTGCGGACTGCCCCTAAGCCTGAGAGTGCAGCCAAGGGTCTCCAGTGTCGTGGCTTTCAATACCAGCCACTCGCCAGAACCGCTAGCCGGGTAGCCACGGCTTCGTGCAGCTGTCCTCCAATTACGAAGATCTGAAGTTTGTGCGAGTGCAAGTGAATGTGTTTGTGCTAGCACCAGCGTACAAATAAGTGCCCCTTCTGCAAGTTTACGTCGGTGACCGCTGTGTGATCTTGATGCTCGACCGTCGCAACGAGACGCCAGCATGGTGACCTTGAAGCGGAACGGAATTGCCGAATTCTTGCGTCGTGTTCTAATCGCTGTTTCGATGATGCGCTACTGAAGCTCGAAATATTGCAAAATCGACTTCGCTCGCAGGCCGCGCCATTCGACAGAGATTTGACCAATCTACAGTCGCACCTGCGCCCGAATTGTGGCAGGAGGCCACCTGCGGATGAAGGCCGTGGCATTCCGTGGGAAAGGCGATATCGGCTGTGGTTCGCCTATCGAATTCGCAGCCCCTTCTTCATCCTGTGTGACACTTGAAGACGCCGTTATCAGGCCGAGCAGGAAAGCGAGGCGGCGGAAGCTTTTCTTCTCATAGTCGCCGCGTTAAAGGAATCTGCAACCGCAAGGGAACGGGCGCACGGATTGCCTGGACCTCAGGCGAATATCGTCGGTTCTCCGCGTGTTCTACCTGTGCCTCACGGAGATATAGTGCTTTGCTTTTTCGTGCTTTAGAGCAGCTAGAGCCGATCACCAGCACGGCAGTGGTGCCGTGTCCATTGTGGGTGCCGGGCGCCGCGCGGCGCCCGGCGCGACGACGTCGCCGCGGTCCGAGTGTCCCGTGTCCGGGAGGATGAGCGTTCGTGAGGTGTGCCACAAGTATGGGATGCACGCAAAGCGCCATTCAGCGCAGGGCCGGAGGTCGCGCGGGCCGCGGCGGCCCCGCGACGCCCTCGGCCGCCGGAGTACCGCCGTCTGCCTCGGACCTCTCGGCGGCAGCCACCAACAATTCGGCGTCCAACAACCGGTGCCACGCTCCACCGAGCGCCCCCGAGTCTCAGCCGCAGCACCGCAACTCGCGGCCCCAGTGCCTCGAGGGCGCCAGACCTCTTTTCCGCCGCGCTACCAACTGGGAGGTCGTCACCGAGCGAAACGTGCCGCTTTTCGCAATGCTGGACGGCGGTGCGCCCGACGACGGAAGGGTAAGTCAGTGAACGCTTTAGCTGTTATAGGCCTTGCACTTTCACAGGTCTCGAAAATTAAGGGTTTGACACGGCGTCTTCCGCGATAACACCAGGGTAATCGCGCTCGCAACGGGCTTTGGTTCTTGTCCCGGCACCCACCAAAGACGCCGCTCTGAGCATGTGGTTTGGTGAGATGCATTTTGGCAGTGCTAAACTCGACGTTAACGTCATCTCCTGTCGTGCGCGAAGACGTCCGCGAACGGTTCAATGACCTGATGTGGCTCCGTAAGTGGAGAGGTATATTTGAAATATTTGTCAATATTTGAAATCTTGCCTCGACACATGAACTTGCCATTTTATCTGGCGCTGCTTTAGTCAGACAGCGATGTTAGCTTACGGATCGCACAAGACACGCGCTCGCTGTTGGGTGCACGTGCGGAGAGAGTCACGTTGCGCTCGTTTTGCGACTTGCTTTCCCTCGCCGATTCAGCGGCGTTACTGTAAGAAAACGTACGCGCGCGCGCGTGCGTGCGCTTTTTGCACCGAACTTTGAGCGTCTTATATGTGTTCCTGATTTGCAAGTGTTTGGTGACCCGTGGAGGCTCTCGGAATATCTATCGCCGTGCGCTACAAGAAAGGCCGAAAAGCGAGGAAAGTTGCAAACGAAGGGCCTTTTAATGCTTGAGTCGCTAATGCGCACAGACAATTTGCTATTGCAACTAACGCTTTCCTGCATTATAATTGAGGCCACTAAAGGCGGGGCATGAGTAAAAGCGGAAAACGCGAAAATAATCTTTCTGCTCGACGTTGCGAATAATTTTATGCCGGACGATGGGCCATTTGACATTTTATAGTTAGGTTGATATCGTATGCTATAAAGGTTATACGGGTTGGACAGCCTCTCGGTCTTTCCACCGATTGGTACAAAAATACACATCACGGACAAGCTGTGCAGCTTCACGAACACCACCCGAAGGTTTGTGCGTTTTAGTATAAATTTGCGCGGGCAGGCATTTGGGGAAGTATATCTTTGGAGGTTAACTTCAATAGCATAGTTTTGTTCACTTTAACTTTGGACACAGTTTGATCGAATATGATTGATTGGTTTTAAAACGACGCGCACACAATGATTGCGCTTCAAGAAGGGCAGTATTCTAAACAAAATAATCCTACGACGGGAGGCGTATTCATTCACCTTACAATATTCTGAGTCCAGTAATTCACACTGTGTGTGCTCTGCATGTTATGTTAGCATCCAGTTAGACGACGGGGTACGCCTCGTCATCACGCCGCAACCCCCCATTGAAATATACCATGAAAGCTTGGCCTCCTGTAGGAGTGTGGGGTAGGCAACTGGTATACCCCTACCGATGATCGTAACAGTGACGCGTGCTCAAATTTACGGTGGGGGTATTAGTGCAGCAGTGTGACCAAACCTTAACTTAGCATTGTGAAGTTTACTTGGAGGACTTACTTCAAGCATCGAAAATAGAGTGTGTTCCGTAAGGAGACTTGTTCCGCGTCGTCGCTTATATAGGTGCACTGGGCTTCAGAGTAACCGCTCCTTTTCCCGGTCGCCTCGCATCGAATTTCGCGTGACGAGTGGAACATGCGAGAAGTGTACAAGCACTTATCGTTGGGCTAGGTAGCTTTGCATTCCTGAATAATTAGAGCATCGCAGACGTCGTAGGTCGGCAAAAATGCGGACCTCACTTAATCTCGCGGACGAAATACATTTTGCCCATAGAGCTTACACGGACTCACCTGAATGTTCTTCAACCGGACTCGCTCGGACTCAAACTCATCAAAATCTTGCACACCCAGACTGACGCAGACTCAGACTTGTGCCTCGATCTTATAGTCTGAGTGGGTCGACTGCTGAATGCGTGGTTCCGTTATTGCGCACAATTACCTTTTTATGATCATGGTGTCACTAGACTTCAAGGCCAATATCTCGCACAATCGGTGCTACACGATACGTATTTTGATCTTGTACTTTCAAGCACGAGTTATCAGTGGTTGCGAACCACTGAGGAAAATTTTGCTAAAACACGTGACTCACACCAGATCTTTTTATCAAAAACTTCCCGTGAGACTTTGTGAAAGGCGCGGGGCACAATGCCGCTTCTTTTTCCCCCTTTCACCATTCACGTCTCTAATGAATAAATATTGAGCTGGCCGATGAACGCGAGTACGTTGAGGAATGTGTGAGTAGACGTGAATATGAAGTGAGCTGAAATTAGGCTGATCGTAAAGCTAAATATCAGTTGTAATCATCAAAGGTCGGCAAGAAGATGTAAAATTCTCTCAGACTCACTCAACAACTATATTTTCCGCTTAGAACCCGCTCAGAATCACCAAAATTATTCTCAACCGGACTCGCCAAAATATCGCTCTCCTCATGAATGAGTTACCGACATATGTTCGCAGACGTTATACAACTCGCAAGAGAAAGGCACACAAAGACAAGTTCTTGTCGTTGTTGACCAGCTCTCTGCAATACCGTTTCTCCAGAAAAACTGTGTTTCTTTGACTTATAGTGGAAGGCTGCATGCAGCCACCACTAAAACTCACGCCCCACTACCACACTAACGAGCTTTTAGGGAAGGGCTTTTTTGTCCCGCTCCGACCTCGCCGATCAGCAATCATTGGACGCGAGCGCCCGATACGGAACTCGAGGTGAAGGCAGCTCTGCACAGAGGACGGCTCTCCGAAGCTGCATTCACGAGATATATATTATTATCTCTATTCCTCTCCTTGATCGACGGGATGACGAAGTATGCAACCTTCTAATGACCACTATCGATTGTTCTTGGCATAGGCGCGTGTATGAGTAAGGGGAGGGGGGAAACTGGCTGGTCTCCCCCTTTACCCATTAGTCATCTAAAGGGGATCACCATATCTGCCCCATACGTCTTCAGTGGGACCTTTCACGCCATCTTTTTAATGCGAAGGGTTACGGCTGATCATGCTTTTTGTGGATAATAGTGACCGAGGATGCCCGATATGTTGCGTTCAAACAAGTGTTCTCCACACATTTACCTCGAAAATTTGGCAATAATGGCTTCGTAGAGCACGAAGCTGCGTCTTGTCAATAGCATTGCATATTCCTTCTATCGTTTTTTTTCTTTTAGCTCCGGTAGATATCTTCCACTTTATCATTTTATTTTACTCCAGCCTGGATATACACACGTCACTTAGTGGTACAGTAAGGGAAATAAACAGGGATTGAGCCTTTTAGAATCTGTTATGCGGTTCCGTGCAAGTGGGCCTTACTTTCAAGATCGAGAGGAGGCAGAGCCAGGGCGGAAAACAACTGCCGGAAGGCCATGCAAGGCATGCACTTACGTGCACTTACTTGCACACACGACAGCTATAAGAATGACATCGGCTTCAAAAACTTCTTCTGATGCCCTTTGCCAGTCACGAAATCGCACCTACACAGGTCATTTCATCAATATAGTCGAAAAATTTACTCACACGTTTCGTTCGTAAAGTATTCTTTTTCTATAGCACGGGTAATGGTCAGTTGGTATTGACCCATTTCAAGACTGGGTAAGGTGCGCACACAAACATGGACACAAGAAGGAGACGCTAACGTCGCCCCGCCACGGTGGTATAGTGGCTAAGGTACTCGGCTGCTCACCCGCAGGTCGCGGGATCAAATCCCGGCTGTGGCGGCTGCATTTCCAGTGGAGGCGGAAATGTTGTAGGCCCGTGTACTCAGATTTGGGTTCACGTTAAAGAACCCCAGGTGGTCGAAATTTCCGGAGCCCTCCACTACGGCGTCTCTCATAATCATATGGTGGTTTTGGGACGTTGAACCGCACATATCAATCAATCAATCAATCAATCAATCAATCAATCAATCAATCAATCAATCAATCAATCAATCAATCAATCAATCAATCAAACAAACAATGAGACGCTAACGTCACAGGCACCAACTCGCAACTACAGTGTATTGGCATGGTGAGAGAAGTGATATATACGTACTTGCTTTTCTTAAAATACAAGAAGTGATTAGCACTCGCAAGTAGCCGGTGAACCGTCATTCCAGCTCCAATATTTTCGTCACATGCCATGGTGGTCCAGTGGTTATGTTTTGCTTTGCTCGACTGCTGACCGATGGTCGCGGGATCGCAATTCTAGCGGCGGCCGCATTTCAGATGGAGGCTAAATATCAGAGAATCATCGCGTTCCTCGTATCAGGGACACGTTAAAAAATCTCAGGTGCTCGAAATTTTGGAAGCCTTCCTCTACAACGACCCTCACAATCACATCGAGGTTTTGGGCCGTAAAACGCCAAGAGTTATTATCGTGATCGCCATTATGATCATCATTATCATCACCACCACAACCACCACCATCATCGTCTCGTTGCACAAAGCTGCACGATGCCCCGGACGAATTCGCTCAACACCCAATTGAACGAACATTCACCGAGCGAGCGAGCGAAACACAACTCGCACATTAAGTCCTGGCAACCTCGACGGTACCGTTCGTGCTTTACGACGCTCGCAAGAAACGTACGCCCGAAGCGCGCAGGTTCGTGGCAAATATTCCTCGAGCGCCGATTAGGTCGCAACCTGAGTGCGCGGTTCGACGACTCGGTAAACAACATTAGTGCCGTCGCGTCTTGGGAAGCAGTTCTCGAGCTCTCGTTGCCTGGTTAGCGAAGGCGCTCTACGGCTTTTCTGCCCATATGCGTATTCAGCGACCTCTGGTCAGGCCTCCCGCCTCGCTCGTGGAGCGGCATGGTTTCGACAGTGACGACTCGAGGCCTTTCTTCAAAGAGAATGCAATGGACAATAAAGGGGCGGCGCTGAGAAGTGCTGATTTGATCCGCCCATGCAACTCTATACGTAAGGTGGGCAAGGTTGCGTTTTGCGCCTCTAAATTCTGATTTGTGAGAACTGGAAATCAAGCGCGTAGCTTGTCTGTAGTTGCTGAAACACTGGCGGTAGTCCTTAGTTTTAATAAACAAATGAAACAAGTAAATTAAACAACAACAACAA